ACTGGTAGCATTATTAGCTCACCCTGCGTAGCATGAGAGCTATTGAATTCCTCTTGTCCGTCCGTCCGTCTGTCTGTGTGTTCACGAGTTTTTTGCATCAATTGATGCTAATTAATAATCCCCTTGACCATTATAGAATAAATTAGGCGCACCATTGGTATCGAACAATCCGTGGCGCAAATGGTGCGAATTAATTGTGCAAATGGATCGAGAAAGGACTACAATTTTGGAATAGGTAGCACCGTTGGTATTGAACAGTTGGTTATCCAAGCTGATGCGAAACAATTGGATGAGCATCAGTTGATACTCACTAGAATGGATCAGGTCCATTTTTTAATAAATTAATAGCACCATTGGTATCTAACAATCGGTAACACAAAATGATGCGAAACAATTGGGTTAATTGATGCAAAACGCACCAATGGTACAGAATAGCCGGGAGAATTTATTATATAATTTTGACACAAATTTTTTGAAATTTTATTTGACCCACCACGGTTAATCTCCAACAGTGGTACAAAATACTTTGCCATCTTCCTCGTCTTTCTGCACCATTGATGCATAATTGCATAATAATTATTGATCTATTTTATGCTTCATTTTTATGCACCACTGGTGCATAATTGCTTAAAAATTATTGATCTATTTTGTTGAACTACTATAATTTTGCACCCAAGGTGCAAAGGTGCCAGGTAATTATCATACCCCGGTAATTTATGGGTTTATGACTTTTTGATTTCGAACACGTCGACCCCCAAACTTTGTAGGGTTACTTATCATCACTTGTGGTTATCAAAAATTAAAAAATGTTTTCAATTTTAAAAAGTATTTTGGACTTTTCGTAAATATAAATATTTTTGTCAATATTTCGCCATTTTTTTAAAAATATATTTTTTTCGCGAGGCACGAAAAAAATCGAATTAAAATGCATGAATCGTGACATTTTAATTGTTTTTAGTATTTCTCTGTTTTTTAAGTGTGTTTGCATTTTTGATTTTTAATACTTTTTCATAATTTCGTATTTTCATTACACTATAGTGTACATTATAATGTGCACATCTCAGCATTGACCAATTAAGTGCGGCATCGTTGCATCGTTCAGTCTCATTCGAAGTTGCATCGTTCACTCAAAAATTTCATTCATTAATTAATGAGTAATTAATTTTGTCACAATGGGACGAATGAAAATAGACAAAAGTTCTCTGAGAAAATCGTGGATTGAGGACCTGAAAGTCAATAACATCATGAAGATTGGCGGGGCTAAAATAATTTGTTTTGTAAGGTTTGAATAAAACATTTGTCAAAAATAATCAACTTTTGTACATATATTTTCATGACTTCATAGTCATGAACATCATGTTCTCATGAACATCATGTTCTCATGAACATCATGTTCTCATGAACATTAGTTTGAAATATAATTTGCTCAATGTTAACTTTGCAATTAATAATACAGGCCTGCCAAGATGGATTCAGTTTCAAACAAAAATGTGAAATGGAGCAACACATTCAAACTAGGAAACATCAGAATTCGGCAAAGAAGTTTCTAAACCAGTCACAACGTCAAAGTCTTCTTATTGAAACTGTCGAGGCGCCGCCGATTAAAACATTTAATTCGGATTTGTGTCGTGCTTTCGTTTCGGCTTTAATTCCATGGAATAAGTTGAAGAATCCGGACCTGGAAGGGTTTCTGCAGAAATACACAGGAAAAACTATCCCAGATGAATCGACATTAAGAAAAAACTATTTGCCAAATATTTACAATTCGGTTGGTTCATCAGTACTGAACAGCATTATTTATTACTTTACTAATATTGTTAAATCATCTTAGGCTATCGAGAAAATTCGTCGCGACGTTGGACTAGACCCAATTTGGTTGCAAATCGATGAAACGACCGATAAGTGTGGGCGATTCATCGCAAACGTCATAATTGGATCCTTAAGGAAGGATAATCCTACCAAGTCTCACCTTATTTGCTCAACTCAACTGGATAAGACGAACAATTCCACAGTGACCAAATGCGTCTTGGATGCCTTACGTAAAATTTTAGAGTCTTCCGGAAGTCATGAATCATTTGCTTTTTATTCATACATTTTATTTTCATATGACAGAGCTGTTGTGGCCAGGAAGTAAACAAGATGATATTGAAAAGAAATTTCTACTACTTATCACGGATGGAGTTGAATACATGATAAAGGCTGGGAAAAATTTAAAGACGCTATATGGAAAATTACTGCATGTTACGTGTATAGCTCACGGAATGAATAGAGTAGCAGAGGATATTCGCTCCCATTTTCCAGAAGTGGATAAATTCGTTGCAAATATGAAGGCTGCGTTCAAGAAAGCACCCCGCCGAATTGCAATTTACAAAGCAAAATATCCAGATCTTCCTCTGCCACCAAGTCCAGTCATTACTCGTTGGGGAACATGGCTTTCAGCAGTTGAATTCTATGCAAACCATTTTGATAAAATCAAGGACATCGTTAAGGATTTACCGGATGATTCAGCTTCAGTGAAAGCTTTAAAAACGTTGGTTTCATCCCCAGAACTGCCAAGAAATTTAGCATTCCTCACGCTAAATTATACATTTTTGGCTGCAAAACTGAAGGAAATGCAGGAGAAAAACTCTTCGTTGCGGCAATCTCTTCAGTACCTCGATGACATTGAGTCAAAGCTATTCTCGGTACGTGGAAACGTCGGGAAATCAGTAATCGAAAAATTCAAGTCAGTCATCGGTAAGAATCCAGATCTGGAAAAATTGAAGGGAATTTCTGCAGTGCTCGAGGGAAATGACGCGGATGACCACGATGACCCTACTTTAGGATTAAATCCTGCAGAAATTGCATCCTTTCAGTTCGCCCCAATAACATCGGTTGAAGCTGAACGCAGTTTCAGTATGCACAAATTTTTACTATCAGACAGACGCCATGGATTAACTCCAGAAAATCTTGAGATGGAACTTATTTCTCACTTTGAGCTTTTACATGACGATGATGATAATTAAAATCTAATTATCTCTTAATAATTAACGTATGATGTAATTAGCTGTAGCTCGAATTTACTACTCTTTTGACGTTCGAATGAAGATAAAGAACGTCCGGGAATGAATGGGAATGGTCTGAAAATGTGGTCATAAAATCACAATGAGTTATCGGAATTTTAAACTTTTTGCATATGTATAATACCAAATACGTACCTACATAATTTAATTAATAGCTAAGGCCGCCACACCCCCGTTGGCGACTAGTTCGATTTTCTTGCGAAGATTTTTCATTAAATTTTTTCCCGAAGTTTTTGCCACTTCCGAGGTGATTTTCTTCCATCGTCTTTTGAATTTTCGAAAGGTGTCAGGCACATCTTGAAGCCGGGAGTATACTGACTTAGAACGTGCCCAGAATTTTTCGATTGGGCGGAGTTGGGGTACATTAGGTGGGTTGATATCTTTTGGTACGAAATCAATATTTTTCTTTCTGAGGTACTCGGTCACTTTCTTTGCATAGTGACAAGTGGCGAGGTCAGGCCAAAACAAAACTTTATCATTTTTGTGAAACCTATTAATAAATGCTTCCAATCCAGCCTTGACGCAATTTTTCAGATAAATATCTTGATTGATATTCCCTTCGAGAACTACCGGGTCTGATACATGTCCGTGACTGGAGATGCATTGCCAAATGCAATATTTCTTTGGAAATTTGTCTTTTTTTCGTACTTTTTCTTCATAAGCCACTTCAGAGGGATCCGAGCTATGAAAAAAATGACGCCCTGGAAGATTTGAAGGGTCAACCGGAACATACGTTTCGTCATCCAGGATCACTACTTTTCCACGCATTTTCTTCAACAATTTTTGACAGCAATCCTTGATCCGACTTTCTTGTACGGGCTTGTAATTTGGTGCAGGTTTTTTGGTCCTTGCTTTGATTCCTAATTTATGGACCTTAATTTCCCCCAGGTAGCTTTTGGAAATTTTGACTTTCCTGGCAGCCACAGCTACTGACGTTGATGGCTTGGTTTTGAAAATTTTTTCAATTCTATTTTTCACTCGAGTGGTCGCTAGCTTCGCCGGACGACCAGCTGGCTTCTTGAATTGCACATTTTCGGAATCCTTGAACTTTTTTATGTAGGAATACACATTTGAACTTGGAATTCCTTCCTGCTTAAAAAAGTTCCAGGTCACCTTGGAGTCTCGGTTGGCTGTCGTGTTGTAGAACTCCATCACTCGTTTTGCTAACAGCTCCCTTTCAAACAAGCTTCTTCTACCCTTATCCATTTTTGAAATTTAAGAGTGATATACCAAATTGACCCTAATGAAGTGGGCTTTCAGAAATTTAAATTATTATAGTTCGCGGGTTTATTGATTTGTCAATATACTCGCTAGAGCGCGCATTCCCATTCATTCCCGGACGTTCTTTATTTTTTTTTAAATATTTCGGCGTTTTTTTCAAAAATATAAAATAAATATTTCGGGCTTTATAAAAAAATATTTATCCGGGGTATGGTAATTATATATTACAGGGTGAGCTACTTCTAACGTTACTACGGTTTATTTATCATTCATCCACTCGACCTGCAGGTCAACCAAGTACGGTGCAAAAATTTATTAACAAATTGCTATTCATTGGGTAAAAATGGAGGACATTGTGACGGGAGACAGCCCATTGGCTGTAAAAATCTTGGGCAAATCATCTTCCTCAAAACTACGACTGGAATAAAAGATAAATCAGACCACTTATCTTCCAATCGCAGCTTTGTTTTAGGCTGAAGAGAGGACAGAGTACAAATTCCGCAATGACACGTACCAATCCGTGGACAAGTTAGTGGGTTCGCATAAGCGATCTTTTTAGGTAGGGGAGGATTTTTATAGGAAATTTTATCGTATAACTCTGTATGAAAAGCATTTCTTGTGATGCAATGTTGGACTCTGGAAAAGTACTCGAAATAAACTGGATAAATCCAAATACATAATCTGAATAAATACGACAGAAATTCTCAACATCAAGTCAGTTGAATCTGAACTGTCGTGTGGTCAAGATCAAAGTAATTTGTTAACCAATTTAGCCTGAATCCTGTGGAATATAAGTAAGTACTAAAGGGTGTTGATTCAATTCGGCCCAATTTTTCCTGTGATATTGCAAAATTTGTACATCAAAAACGGTGAAATCTTCTAGGTAAATTTTTGTGGGAGAGATTCATTGCTAATTAGTCTTTCCAGAATGTGTGTATACTAATCCTCCCCTTAACTATTTTCCTGTAATTTTGTTCTCATTTTCGTTAAGTTGTGTCAAGATCCCAAAAAACTATTGGGGCGAATTAAATCATCACCTTTATAAATTTGTGTCATAATTTAGTTTTCAGAATGAAGGTTGCCGTGCTCCTTCTAATAACCGCCATTTTCGCCATGGGTGCGCACGGTCGAGGCCCTCTTTCAAGATGTAAGCGATGGCATCACTTATCTTTAATTTTATGTATTAATTTTACAATTCTAAAGGTGATAATTTTGTACAGATCTCTTTCAAAGGTTGCGACATTTGTGCGAATTAGATGGCGGAAATTCTACTACCACGTGTGGAGCTGATACGCGGGTTGTGGACTGTGAGGACGGGGGAATGCTTTTTGGAGATATGTGCATAGAACTTAACTGCATCGATTCTCGTAGTTTGTGTGGTAGAGAGCCATGTAACTCACCTGTTGCCCGTTGTCATTGTGAGAGACCTGTTGGGAAATAAAGTTTGAGACTTGTTCACGTTAGTATGAAGTAGTGTATATTGTCAATTTTGCAGTTTATTCAAGCTATTTTTTACAAACCTTAAAGTCATACTAAACATGTCATGAAGTTGAGTCGAATTAAAATAAAATATTTGTTTTATCGAAAACAAATGGAAACATGCAATATTTTGAATTGGTAAATAATCAAAAAAACAAATGCTCTATTAATAATAATTGTTGATGCCTTCTTTTCTTTGGTAAAAATTAATTACATATTACCTTTCTTATGGCAAAGTTAATAAATAAGTTTGATATACATATACAGATTAAAAATTTAATTCATGCTGAATACTCTTGTAATCTTGCATACCATTTTCCATAAATGTTGCAGAATTTTTATTCCATAAAAGCCACATCGTAGAAATAAGTTTTACCAACTAAATCTTGCTAAATAAATATTTCTTGTTTTTATTAGAAGAGTTTTTTTTGCAGTGTACCTACATACATAAATATTTTGGAATAGAAAACAGCTTTTCTCGCTGACTTGCCTTCGTTTTGACAACAGAAACTGGTTTAGCTCATGCCAATCTATCCTTAAAAATGACATTGAATGGTTTCGGCGTTAAGATAAAGGACAACTTCGACTCGAATCCGTTATCTGGGCCGTCCTTGTCGAACACGATTTCAAATCTTTGAGCAATATTGGTCGCGAATAGGAAGAGGTTGTCTCTCGCCAAAGATTCGCCGAGACACTGGCGCCGTCCGGTCGAGAAAGGGATGAGGGCTTCGTGCTTCTTGAACGTTTTTCCGTCCGCGCTCAAAAATCGGGAGGGTCTGAAGGTCTCCGGGTCTCCCCAGACTTTGGGGTCGAAGTGGATGTGGAATACGTTTGCCGTGATGACGGTGTCCTTCGGGATGAGGTAGCCCTTATATTCTTGGTCCTTGATTGCCCGGTGTTGCACGCCTTGCGGGGTGATAGTGGAGAATCGGAGGGTTTCGGCGATTAAGGCTTCAGTGTAGGGCATTCTGGTGGGAAAATTTGGGGCAATTTTATTAATTTGTGTATGACTCATTACCAGAATCGTTAAAATCTGCATGCTTTTAATTAGTTCTAGGTTCTGGTTTCTTTTTCTTATTTCGAGCTTTGGACAGAACGTAGGTAAATACTTCGGGTGAGTTTTGTAATTAAGGGAAATACGTTTTTGACTTGAGATGTCCAACTTTTAGAATAATTAAAATTAGGATTGCATATTTCTGAAAACTGGGAAAAAAAAGTTCTACAAATTTTTCCTCCAAAGTTTTTAGTTAAATTCCCAGAAGCAAGAAATGATTAAAAACCTTCTGATCTTAATTTGAAAGTTAATTTTCGTATTAGTTTTTTGTAATAAAATTTTTGCAGCTAGAAAGTAAAGATTTGGTGCAATTGGGGACAAATTTGGAATCAATCAGATCTCATTTTAATCACAAAGTTTTGTGTGAATATGATTTTTGTTTGAGATTCGAAACGGTTCAGATTTTGGATTAAAGGATTGAGCTAAATATTTAGAGGTGCAAATCGATTATTAATTTTGCTCACTTTGGTCTGTCGGAAACCGTGGTGGGTCTACTATTTCCCGTAATGGATTCAATCTCTGCCTGAAATTTTTTTTGGACGTCGGGAAATTTGCTGAGATAGATCATCATCCAGGACAAAGTTGTGGAAGTGGTGTCCGTTCCAGCGAAGTATAAATCGCCCAAAGTTGCGGCTAGGTTGTCCTCTTAATAATTAATAGAATAAAAGTAGAATTTTATGAATAATGGGTTGTTTTTGAAAATAAAAATTCTGCACAATTATTTGTACCTCCCAATTGTCCATGAAATGCGGAATTTGGATCAGTAGTTTTCTGAATTTCTTTCAAAAACACGTCGGTAAAATCTCTGAAGAAATTAAAAAATGTCAGAAATATTGAGGTATCGTTTTTGGGTTTTGTATTTCTAACCGGTCAAAGTCCTCCTGTCGCGTCTTTTTATGATCGATGACCGGTTTTCGTAAAAAATTGGTAAAATTGAGCAATTCCTGTTTCACTAAACCGTATCCAGACCAGTTTGGAAACATTTTGGCAAGCCACGGCATAAATAGCATGACTCCACCACCTTCCAAAATTCCTTCGAAAGCTCTGAAAAAATCAAGAAGGATACTTATTGAATTGCAAAAAAACTGAAAAAACTGAGTTTATCATTTTGTTAAATCATCAAATTTTATTTTAGCATGACATTAAAAATATGCAAAAATATTTGTGCTGAAAATTGTCCAAACTATTTGTAGGGAATATTTTAAATCTGAGGAACAATTTATCAGAAATTTTGAAAATTTTGAAACATATATGTACATACTGGTAGGAAATGTTTAAAATCTGGAAAATTATTTATGAGAAATAATTGAAATCTGGAAACATTTTTACACAATAAACTTAAGATCCAAAAAATTATTTTTGGACCCGAAACTAGAAATCTGTAGAATTCTGCAGAAATCTGCAGATTCAATAATTATCAGACAAATTATTGACAAAAAAAGTACACATTATCGTAAATTAAATTGTGCAATTTAGTTATTACAAAACTCACTTATTCGCTTTCTCCGTCATTCCAATCAACTCTCGGTCATTGTGTTTGTGCCGGATTCCCGTGCAAATGGCCCACAAAGCGTTCACCACAGCCAGAAGGAGCCTCTCTTTAACGTTACTGACTGGTTTTCCATTCGCAGCCTTTAGTCCCTCGATGAGGTCGTTGACCTCCAGCATGATCGAGTCCTCCATGGAATTCTTGCCAAAACCGAAATCACGTAGTTGTCTGAGCGTAAATCGTCTGAGTTCTTCCCAATGCTCGCTCTCCGTGTTTATAATTCCGTGCAGTTTTCCGTCCATGATGAAGTCGAAATCGGTGAAGTCCATCCGCCCCGAAAATGCGGATTCGGAAAAGATTTCTTTCACCATTTTGTAGTCTGAGACGACAAGCATGCTGAAAGCGAAAATTATGAATCCGTCAAATAGGTTTTGTCAACTTAAAACCCGAAAGTCGGTTTTGAAAAGAATCGGAACAACTGAAAAGTGTTTTTAAGAATAATCCGAAATCGAAATAATCGACAACCGGTTTTTAAAAACACTCTGATCCTGGATGCTCTGGTACATAATGCCTAAATTTGACATAAATAAATACATATGTAATTTGACTGTAGCGCCGATACCAGGCGATGAATATGTACACTCTAAACAAAAATAACTAAAATTTACTCAAGGTTGGGTAAAAAAGAGGATGACACAACCGAAAGGTAAAATTTGTCCAACGTTAGGTAAAATTTACCCACCCGTTGGACACAATTTGCGCATGGTTGGATAAATTTTACACATCGGTTGGGTAAATTTTTCTCAACGTTGGACAAATTTTACTTTTCGGTTGTATCATCCTCCTTTTTACACAACCTTGAGTAAATTTTAGTTATTTTTGTTTAGAGTGTATACCTATGAATATATTACACATAAACATATCATGGTACTAACTTGTTACCGCCCAGTAGTAATTTTTTTAACTTGCTGGTAGCATTATTTTATACTCAAACAGTTGCATTTTTTATTACCTAGTGGAAATAACCTATCACCGAATTAAGTATTTAAAGATAAGGTTTAAGGTAAGTCTTACTTTAACGAGGCGAGCTTCACTTTGTACAGTGGTCCATATTCCTTCGCCCACTTGTTGAAGGTAATATGTTGAAATTTGTCCTATAGTTTTAAAAAATATTTTCAAAAATTAAAAATCATTTTTTTCAACAGATATCCAATTTTCAAATATATAAGTATAATTCGAAGATTGATTTTTTTATGATTTTATGTCCAATATTACGTAATTGAAAATAAAAACTAGGTACATAATTTATTACCATTTGTAGTAAATTTCCTAGAAAAGGTATTCCACTTGGACCTTGAATAATCAAATTATACAATTTGCAAACATTTCACCAATTACTAAAATGCACATAGATTTTTACCCGGTGGAGCATTTTTCCATCTCGGTTTTCTCAAAAGGACAAAGTAGACCAGTCCAACGAGTACCGCTCCGAGGGCTACCAGCACGCCGGAAACCATCCCAAGTTAAAATTGTAACTAATAAAAATTATTTATGTATTTTCCGGTCCCACCTCAAGTTAACTTTCTACAAAAGAAAAGTTGCACACTTGTCTTCCGTGTGTTCCGATCCGAACTGAATTATGACAACGGATATCAGGCTGTTTTTATTGAGGCGAAAAGTACTTGGACAATGGGATCTTTATCGGTTCAATTACTTTTGTGCAGATAAATACGTACGCTAAACGGTTGGGGTTGATTGGCATAGTAAAACGGAGAACAAACGTATATATTCAGATCTACATTTTGTTTTCGTTTATGTACAAATGATGTGGATTCTCTATCTGTGTAATTAATTACGATTATGAAACCTGGCTCAAAAGTTTGGGTCGACTGGTAGACTGGAGCAGAATATGCACAAGTGTTTAATAAATATGTAACTTGTTTTCGTTTGAAGGATTCGTTAATTCTTCGTCATGGTCAAGTGAAGAAAGATAAAGGATCACGTCAAGTTAACGTAATTTTTGTCATATGTATGTACGTACGTATTTGCATCTGCATGTATGGCATTATGTAGTTCCACTCACAAGGGACACTCACGACCTGTCGTTTGAGTCCAGGGTACCCACTATGTTTTTTAGAATCTACTAGGACCCCAGATGAAGGATTCATTCATATTTCCGTGTAAAACTCATATTTGGCGACGTGGCGTGGCGCCAAATTCGCCAAAATTGAATGTTTTTATTTTTGAAACCGCCATAACTTGAAATCCTGGACGAATTTTCAAAATTTTTGGCAAAAATCATGACAAAGAGTTCAACTTTCTTATTCCATGAAATTTTTTCTAAAATTCGCAAAATTTTCGCAAAATTTCGTAATTTTCTTCGAAATGGGGGTTCGTCGAAAAAATCCTAAAAATATTGCAAAAATTAGAAATTTTTTAGTTTTATTTTTTTGTCAAAAATTTCGACTTTTGTGATCATTTTAAGCATAAAATTTTGAAAATCCGACATAAAATGCAAAAGTTATGGGGGTTTGAAGTTGGTCGAAAATGCAAATTTTTAAGTTTGGCGCCACGCCATGGCGCCAAATATGAATTTTACACGGAAATATGAATGGATCCTTCATCTGGGGTCCTAGTAGATTCTAAAAAACATAGTGGGTACTCTGGACTCAAACAACAGGTCGTGAGTGTCCCTTGTCAGTTTGTCTCGATATAAATATGTAGTATCTATCTCCAGCTGGATAAATGACGTGCTTGTGCATATATTTGTCAGAGCATCTGATTGATGCAATTATTTGCGGTGTAAATAACCACGACTGTCGAGCGTGACAAAGTATTATTTATGTGCAGAAGTATTGTGAGGTTTGTTGTGTGTATGAGAGATACATCCGTACATTTTACGAATGAACGTTACTTGTACGAATGCACATTTACATATGTACATTGTGAATGCTTACTTGTATGAATAACTTGTATGCATTATGTAAATAGATACCATTCGACTACTCCAATTTCTTAAAATCAGTTAGTCATTATATACTTTCGGTCAGGTTCAACATTTGAAAATTTCCATCTTGTAAATATGTACTGACCATGGTTTGAGTTTACATGCCCCTCAGAATTATCATGCCAAATATGCATCAGGTCGCAATCAGAATGCGACGACTAGAATGCAGTTATTTCCATGGGTTTAAAATTTATTTCCAAAAGAATGAAATTATCGAATCCTTGTATGAAAAACTTCAGGATGCATGGGACGCCACGAGAGACAATGTTGTGGTGGTGGTGGTTCTGGGGATGGAAACAGGTTACTAACAATTTCAATTCTCTGATCATCTGGTTTCATTCTTATGCAGCTCCAGATCTGGCCCAGAAAAATTTGTACATACTGCAAAAATTACGATTTCGAGGTTATTTAATTGCAATATTAAGAACATTTAACCTTATAAACTAAAATATTACTTCCTGATTTATATAAATTAATCAGATTACGGCCCCCTTTATCTTTATCAAGATGGCGAAGGAGGGATATAAAGTAAGTTAAAAAATAAATGGGGCTTTTATATGCCTAAAGTTAGACATTTACTTCGTTATTTTATGAAGGGAGGGTGTTTAAAGTCCTGTTCTGAACATGAAGACGACGTCGCTATTACTAGCCCTCACTCTGGACAGATTCTTATTCCAGATGTAAAATTATTACGAACTTATTATTAATATAAACAGAGCTCAAATATACATATTTCGAAGATGGTTTATTTCTTTTCTTTTTTACTAATATTTGACATGTAAATACATAGGTAATTGCTCACCTCTGCAAATTCCTTGTTATCGAAACCATAAAACAGTGTCGACTAGTCTGCAAATCGTGGAATTCTGGTGCTACCCCCGTTCTAAAGGCGAGGACACTTATCCATATTCCATTCGATTCTGGAAATAGTGATGTCCGACGTCCCAAGAAGTGGAGATGGGATAAAGGAATTTTAGAAAAACTTAGATTCAATGTTCATCTGATGATTTCGACATATAAATCCACACAACCACCCACGAATCTCGAAACGTTTCCCTCGGTCAGAAATGTAAAATCAATTTCTGTCCACTTTTATTTACCAGAACAATGGCAGAAGGACTTGTGTAACAAAATCGTACAGACTTCGGCCACCACTCTGGAAGAATTAAAGCTTAAATTTCATTACGATCAAAATTTTCCTTCATTTTATGGCACCGTTTTCCTAAAATTCAAGAAACTAGTGACGGATTGGGCTAATTTTCAATCTCAACCTCTCATATATCCACCCCTCCTAGGAATTAGTCAAGCTATTACGGAATCGTTCCCAGGTTTGCAAAGTTTGAGTATTAACCATGCCCATTTGCGTGAAATGGTAAAAGTGGATATATTACAAAAGTTTCCACTGTAAGCTGTACATTCGTGGTAGAAACGTTGGTAGATTTGCGTGAACTAATTCTTAATTACTTTTCAGATCGCTTAATTCCTTGGAATTGGAGGGAAAACTAAAGGTTGATCAGTTAGAAAGGCTGCTCAAAATTCCTTCTTCTATGAAAAAGTTAGACTTTAGGTTGATCTTTGGTAATGGTGACATTCGTGCACACGAGCTGCCAACCATTCTTTACAAATTTTTGAAGAAACATTCCATTACTCTGGAAAAACTTTGTATTGGCATGAGTGTGGTGTCAGATGATAAAGACATTGAGTGGAAATTTCCAGTATTTCCAGTCATGAAAAGGTTGGAAGTTACCTGGATGAAATGCAATGTGTTTGAGGGTGGATCAGGACGCTTAGGACTGATTGGGTATAATGAATGCTTCTCAGTCTTGGAAATTTTGCGCGTTCACAATTTCTATGTCTCCACTGCTGCTGCATTTCTTCTCCCAGAAAATGTTCCCTGTCCCGTAGTTATGAAATCTGTGAGAAAAGTTGATATAATTTTTAGGTGGTGTACAGAAACACAAGAATCAGATCAGGTTGCCCTTTACACGTGATTGGTGTACATTTTTCCCAGTGCCAGGATATCAATAAACAAGTTGGACACTTCAATAATTAAAGAATAATGGTTATGCAATTTTTGAAATTTATTTATCCGTATTTTCAGATATGAAATTAATTATAACTAATATATATATGAGTACATAATTGTTATGATCGCATTCATAATTTAGTAAATTTCCTACGCAATAATGTAGACGTTGATAATAAAGCAAAGTATTTCTTAGTGTAGATAAATGAAAAATACACAGATTCACATTGATCCTAAATCTCTACACTGCTAGGTAGAACCTGCAGTGCAGACTCCACTCCATTGGTTTGAGTTGGTGAACGGCCCTGCAGAATAATTGATTTTCAGGACAACGGGAGCGTCGCGTATTATCGCATAAACTCACCATCTCACTTCATAACTATCACTTTGTGATATTTGTGCAATCTGCAAAAAATTAATAATCATGTTAACATGCACACAACTCATGTTCAAACTCACTGGAATTAATGTTACTTGACAGTTGAACTTTTATTATCATCAAATCCAGTACGTTCTCGGGGAATGTTTTGGTTTATTTGCCAAACGTTTTTTCTTTTGATGAAAATGATGACATTTTGAATCAATTTGATGAAATTTTTGGATGGTTATTTTATCAAAAAAATCAATTATTAAGTAGCTTCAGCTACTTTATGTGAAGACTTTGCCTGTCCGTCTGTTTGTCTGTCCGTCTGTCTGTCCGTCTGTCTGTCCGTCTGTCTGTCCGTCTGTCTGTCCGTCTGTCTGTCCGTCTGTCTGTCCGTCTGTCTGTCTGTCCGTCTGTCAGCAGGATATCAGGAGAACGGATCGAGATAATCTAAATCGGTTTTAGCCAGGGAGAGGATCCTATCAACTTTTGGGGGCAACCGGACCACACCCCTCGTCGCCAGGGGGTGTGGTCGGGGCAAAATGATATTTTTAAGAAACTCAAGTTTTGAATGACGCGTAAATTTAAAATTAATTAATAGCTATACTATAAGCTGTAATTAAAAAGTAATTAATTTTGAATTCACTTCCGTTGCCAACAAACATTTCCAGCTTATAATATAAGAATTTATGCCCCACTCGACATCGAATATTTAATATATCAAATTATACCCCGTTTTTTAACGACTGTACCACACTAGGGAGCGGTACGTCATTTTATGTTAATCACAAATGCTCGGTTATCAGCCATGATGTGATTGTACCTGGTAAAATGAGCAAAATTCATTTTAAATTTCTCTCCCAATCGTTTTTAATAATCAATATTCATTTCCCGTTCCTTAAAAATGAGTCCGACCAGTTTCTAGTCAAAATAAAGAGTGAGATCACTGCCGCCCCCTTCTGCGATGGTATCTTCTTACTTGGTGATTGGAACTTTGTAGTTGATACAGAAAGAGACAGAATTGGTAACTGTGAAAGTAGAAAGGGTTTCGCCAAAAAATTTACAAATATCATTAATTCTTGCAGTTTTGTGGATAGTTATCGTCATCTGTGCCCACAGGGAAAAGATGTTACCTTTGTGAGCAGGATGAACGGTACTTCGGCAAGGCTGGACAGGATTTATTTACAGGTTTCGCAGTTATCAAATTTAATCAGTCAAACTATTATACCGTTCATAGGTGACCACATGGTTTTTGGTGTAACCATGGCAACCACCAATAATAACCAAAAATGCTTATGGTCATGTCCAAAGTCAATATTAAATAATTCGAGCTTTATTTATACGGTCGAGTCGATTTTAAAAGACTTCTTATCGTCTGATTTCTTATTGGATAATTATGAAAAACTAAAGTGTAAAATAATACGGGTTGCCATGGAAACAGACCTGTACTGCAAAATGAATATTAAAAGGTTAATTCGTTTAACATACAACAAGTTGGTTCGAACACCAAATGTAGCTAGTTCCGAAATTTTTACAAATTTTATCGACAGTATAGAGGGTGCCATTCGTGGGGATGGCGTATGCAGTGATTTCCCTGACCGAAAGGTGGTAACCACGCGCTAGGGTATCACTGTAGATGAAGCGCTGGATGACTTGTCATCTGGCGAAAAGCTAAAAATGGTGGGGGCCTTTTTTGCGGAAAAATTCGCTCCATCTTCTGTAAACTTATCGAATATTGATAATTTTATGTTAGATATGCCAAAAATCACAAATCCTGAACGTTTTGGAGGTGATTTGTCTTGTGACGAGATTTTACATGCCATTGAAAAATCCCCAAATAATAAAGCCCCTGGGTTAGACGGCTTAACTTTCGAATTCTACAAGAAATTTTCAGCTCAATTTAGTAAAATTTTAAGCGGATTAGCAACATTTTCGTGTGATGATGAACTTTTGCCAAAATCTTGCAGGAGCTCTGTTGCCACCTTAATTTACAAGGCTGGTGACCCTAAAATTCTTAAAAATTATCGTACTATTTCTATGACCAACACTGATTATAAAATCATTTCCAGCTGTGTAAAGTCTCGTTTAAATATTGCCCTCCCCTCCATCATAGGCCCATGGCAGACATGTGGTGTGAAGGGGAGGTCAATATTTGACAATTTGACTTTCATTCGCGATGCATTTCAAAGTGGTGAACTTGACGGGTTCTTATTTAGCCTTGATCAGGAGGCTGCTTATGACCGTGTAAATCTTGAATATCTTTATAGGGTTTTAAAAAATTTCGGATATCCTGATAATTTAATTAAATATGTGAAGTTACTGCACACTGACTTCACCTTGGTGGTGTCGGTTGGCAGTGATCTCACGGCCCCCATACAAGTTGGAGTCGGTCTCAAACAAGGGGATCCCAGTGCAAGTCCACTTTATTGCATCGCGATCGAACCATTACTATTTAATTTGAATAAAAAGCTGCGAATTTCGGGTCCCAGCGCCTGGCGAAGGCAGCCGACCAAGTATATTTCGGCGTATGCGGATGACACAAACGTCCTCCTTGGTCATCGGAGCCAAATCGGAATAGTTGAGTCGGAGTGCGAAAAGTATTCACAATTTTCATCGTCAAAATTAAATACTCAAAAGTCCGTAATTTTGATATTAGGTGCACAGGTGCCCCCCTAACTAGATTCCCTATAGTTTCAGATGGGCTGAAAATTTTAGGAATTTATTTCGGAAATAATAATTTTATGGCACAAAATTTTACGAATTTAATGGACAAATTTAATTCGAAGTTAGAATTTTACACTAAAAAGTGCGCCCCAGTTAGTCACTTTTCACGTAGTAAAATTGTGAATACTTTTCTCTGTCCGATTTTTTGGTACATATTCAAAGTCCTAGATCCACCGTTGGGAATTTTAGAGGAGATTTCCAAGAAAATCGAAAATTATATATGGTCAGGGTCGAAAAGATGGGTTTCAAGACCCTACGTTTACTTACCGCAATTGAATGGGGGTATTGGCGTGCGTAACCCCGCAGCCCAGATTGCAACTTTCCGTCTCACTTTGGTAAATAAAGTTTTATCCTCATGTGAGGATAATTATTTTCTCGCTGAATCTTTTAACCAAGTCCAATTATTAATTAATTCCGAAATTGCTAAACTATCAATTTTTTATAAGGAAATGTATAATGCGACCCAATTGCTTGGCGTGGGACTTACCGCGTGTAGCAGGGATTATTTGCATAAAATTGTGATAAGTAGCCAATTTTTATTTAGGAATTTGAGTAATAATTATGCATCTCGTTGTAGAATTTTGAAGGTTGGTGATCTCTACGGTCCTAATCAATTAAAATGTATCGAGGCATTACCAGCAGCAGTTAAAAGGCACGCTTTTTCTGAAAGGAAAAAGTATATAGACACGGTTGCCATGGTTACCGACTCAACCGAAATTAAGCTGAACATGTATTCGCTGTATACTAAGTCAGAAAGGGTTGCGGTTTCCAAGGCAACCAACTACCTGCACTGCTTACGTGTGCATAATAAAATTAAATGGGAAGATTTGGACGATGTCCTCTCCTCTCACCCACAGTGGCTTCGCTTAGTAACCACTCCAGTGTCAAACCCGGAAAAAGACAATGTCTTTAAATTCTGGCACAACGTGGGTCTGACCCCTTCCATGGCACACTCACTAAAAATTTACACTAATTTTTCATGTCCGTTTTGCAATAATTTAAAACCAAAAGTGGAACATTACTTAAAATGTCCATATACATTAGATTTGCGAAAAATAGTAGCCAAATTCCTTACAAAAGTAAACATTGACACGCGAGCCTTCGACGACGCCTTCCTTCATGGGGTTTCGCATGCGGGGGGCAATATTATAATCTTTTACGCTTATAATATTATTTATAAAGCGTTTGTCCACAATTTAAATAATTACTCAGGTAAATTTGATCTTATTTCCTCGTTCCGTCACCTTCTTTATGGTCGGATTTTGACCGATTTTTATGCATGCAGTATAAATTCGAGCCTCTTTCTGGAATTTCACAAGAACTGGGACAAATTTGATATTTATAAAATTTCTAGAAATAAAATAAACATTAGTTTAGGTTTTTGATGCAATTAATTTTCCTTTTCTGCATGACTAACTGAAATCTAGTCGTAAATTAGTCTTCCTATGATAAGAAAACTTTATAATTATATTGATTAATGCTACTATTTTATGAATTATGAAATTGTCCAAAATTACCAAAATTGTAACATTTTAAGAGGCAAGAAGATACGGGAGACAAGCACTGGCTTAGTTCCTACCCATGACGGCCAAATTTGCAAAGCCTTGTCGAGAAGACGTCGCCTCAATATTTTTATAATAAATGATATGTAATTGATGACTTAACTTAATTAATTGGAATTAAATTCGTGCGTTATGTTAAAAAAAAAAAAATATAAGAAGAAGATTCATACATATGTATGTCATCATGAAAAGTTGAAGCATAAATTTTGCATGCATACGCATTTTTCCTTATAATTTCAGAGAAATATTTAATAGCCACAATTCGCAATTTCTCATATGTTCCGTCTCATATATCTCGTCCATGAATTTAAGCATTAAAAATAATTAAAGTCCGGAAAATGTAATGGATCCTAAATAAAAAATAGTATATATTTTGCTGGAGAAATTGGCTGAATGTGATACCTATGTATGTATGTACTAGGTAGTTAAACGTTGTCCCTGAACATCGCAATCGATCAGTTTCTGCAACGAACTTGAGTAAAGTAGTTAATAACACCACTCGCAAATCTTGCTTTCAAAACCATTTGAGTTCTGGTTTTCCA